AGCAAGTACATAAATAAACCAGTCAGTTTATGTTTTATCAGCACAAGAGCAATTTCTGAATTGCTGACAAACTAGCAAATTGACTAACCTTAGGTATGATAAACACTGTCTGTCTGGGTCCAGGAGAGTTGCTCCATAAGTCAGGTCACTAGATCCATCACGGGGGCATTACTCACAGTCTAACAACGTTACTGGAGATCAGATGGATATTCCATCAGGCGTCTGTGGAGGCTTTTATAAATTGAGTCAGTTCTCACTCTCGGTGACAGAAGGCACCCAAAGGGCTGCTTTTCCTGGGGGCACGGAGCCCAGACAAAGCACAGGCTATAATTTTTAAATGTGAAAAGAGCAATTCTTCACTAGTTTATGGAAGTTCATAGGATGTTCTTTACAGATAAAATATACATAAAACAGAATCACATGGTCTACCCCAGGGCCATGTGTCTGAACATATATTTTACAAGAAATGGCAACAGTCGTGGCTCACCCTCTATGGTTTCACCATGTGCCCCTCATCTAGCATCTCGTTTAATAATCATCTCCTTGATCTCTTGCCTTCACTGTGGTTTGCAGTCTTTTAGAGGGTCAGCTCTGTAGGTGGGTAGGCAAAGCATCCTCCAAACCCAGCTGGCATTGACTGCAGGGAATGTTCAATGTCGATGATTTATTTTCTCATCGTTCCTGAACATTCTTCCACTGTATCTCCACCGAGCCCTCCTTTCATTAGGTACCACTGTTCCTACCATACCTGGCACCTACCTTCTGCTTCAGCTGCAGCACCGTCTGCTTCATCTGGTGGAACTCCTTGCACGTGGCGCAGCAAGTCCCAGCTTTCACCGCGTTCTCAGACTTCTCCTCATGGCCTGAGAAAGGAGACTGGTCAGTTCTGTCTGCGAGGCTGGCTGAAACCCAGGCCCAGAGACAGCATCAGGAAAGGTGTTCCGGGGGCAGAGTGGGTGACAGCAAAATGTGCCTGGCACGGATGCTGGTGATCTTACAGTTCTCAGTTCCCAGCCAGCACACCCCAGGTCAGGAAGGAGAGGACAGAAGGAGAGAGGCCTCGGTACACTTCAGGCCCAGCTGTCCCTATTTAGGCATCCTAGAAAGATGCTGGCCTTTCATGTGTGAAAATGTGTACCACGGCCGTTTCCCCAGCACCTCCGGATGCAGGCTCTACAAATCTGATGTGATTTATGTTCCCCTCAAAGGGCTGATGTTCATGCACTATAAATATTCCCCCAGCTCAGGCAACGGGATTCCCACAGGTGGTCTTTATCACCTCTCCTGATCCAGGTCTTCAAAAGGAAGTTGGCAGAGTCGTGGACAGGGGCTGGGAGCCGACCTGACCGAGATGGAAGGCTAGACAGGGAATGTGCCAGGCACTCTGGACAGCCTTGCCTGGGACAGGCAATGGGAAGGCAGCCTGGCCCGCCCACTGGGAAGAGTCCCAAAGCCATCTCGTGGGGCACTGGATGCTCCAGGGGCTTTTTAGGAAGTCGTTTTTTGCTAAAGAAAAAAGTGGGCGAAACAAATGGTGACGTGGTTGAGAATTTGGATAGTTCTCATCTGCCCAGCAGTGGGACGGGCTGCACCAGCCTGCATGCAGGGGAGATGAGACACCCGGACCATCTTGCTACTGAGGACCACGCGCAGACTACCAAGGTCTGCACAAAAGGTGGCAGTGGGGTGGACCAAGAGCAAGAGGCTGTGTGTGTGGGGGGGGCAGTGCTCTGCTGGGATGGCACACGGCAAACTCCCCTGGCTTAGAAGCCCGTTGGCGCTGGGTGACGTAACAACCACTATCTGGAATGTGAACCAGGGACAGCTGGGTAACGTGTCACTTTCAAATCATCTCTTGTGCCTCCTGGCCCATATGCTTTTCTTCCTACTGTTCCTGTCTTCAGCAAAGCCCTCTCTTCTAGCTCCACTTGTTGAATCCTACCAAGACCCTGATCAACTGTTCCATGAGGCCCAATCTCTCCACCCCCCCCAAGACACTGCAGTCCTCTGAAGTCAGGTAGCATGCACCATGTGTCCCACTCACCTGCTGGGTCTTCTAGGCTTCCCTGTGGAGGGGCTACTAGTGCACAGCCTGGAGTGTAAGTACCCTAAGAACCAGTCATTTCCTGGTATCTCTCATAGCGGATGCTCTAAAAATGTTTCTGAAATGGCTTTATGGGTTGAATTGTGTTCTCCCAAAATTCACTGTTGAAATACTAACCCTCAGTGCCTTAGAATGTGACTTTATTTAGAAATAGGATCATTGCAGATATAATTAGTTAAGATGAAGTTATACTGGCGTAGCGTGGTCTCCTAGTCCAATATGATTGGTGTCCTCATGCAAAGGGGAAATTTGTACACAGACACAGGGAGAGTGTGATGTGAAGGTGAAGGCAGAGACTGGGGTGATGCAGCAGAGGCCGAGAAACACCAAACACTGCCAGCAAAGCACCAGAAGCTGGGCAGAGGCCTGGAATGGCTTTTACCCTGCACAGCCCTTAGAAGGAACCAAGCCTGCAGCTACCTGGATCTTGGACTTCTAGCCCCCAGAGCTGAGACAATAAGTTTCTGTTGTTTAAGCCACCCAGCATGTGGTATGTTGCTATGGCAGCCCTAGGAAGCTGATGCATGGGCAGGAGGAGAGCCCCATGCTCAGGTGAACCCTTCTCAGGCAGCCCTGCTCATCTCCCCTCTGCCTGGTGATGTACGTGAGGACCAGTGCTTCTGCTCTTTGGGAGGGGAACAGGCCCAGAGGCAATTTGGCAGCTGAGAGCTCACACTACTCACCTGCAGCATGGGGGGTGGGGGGGCAGTTTCAGAGCTCANCTCCTGGCCCATATGCTTTTCTTCCTACTGTTCCTGTCTTCAGCAAAGCCCTCTCTTCTAGTTCCACTTGTTGAATCCTACCAAGACCCTGATCAACTGTTCCATGAGGCCCAATCTCTCTACCCCCCCAAGACACTGCAGTCCTCTGAAGTCAGGTAGCATGCACCATGTGTCCCACTCACCTGCTGGGTCTTCTAGGCTTCCCTGTGGAGGGGCTACTAGTGCACAGCCTGGAGTGTAAGTACCCTAAGAACCAGTCATTTCCTGGTATCTCTCATAGCAGATGCTCTAAAAATGTTTCTGAAATGGCTTTATGGGTTGAATTGTGTTCTCCCAAAATTCACTGTTGAAATACTAACCCTTAGTGCCTTAGAATGTGACTTTATTTAGAAATAGGATCATTGCAGATATAATTAGTTAAGACGAAGTTATACTGGCGTAGCATGGTCTCCTAGTCCAATATGATTGGTATCCTCATGCAAAGGGGAAATTTGTACACAGACACAGGGAGAGTGTGATGTGAAGGTGAAGGCAGAGACTGGGGTGGTGCAGCAGAGGCCGAGAAACACCAAACACTGCAAGCAAAGCACCAGAAGCTGGGCAGAGGCCTGGAATGGCTTTTACCCTGCACAGCCCTTAGAAGGAACCAAGCCTGCAGCTACCTGGATCTTGGACTTCTAGCCCCCAGAGCTGAGACAATAAGTTTCTGTTGTTTAAGCCACCCAGCATGTGCTTTGTTGCTATGGCAGCCCTAGGAAGCTGATGCATGGGCAGGAGGAGAGCCCCATGCTCAGGTGAACCTTCCTCAAGCAGCCCTGCTCATCTCCTCTCTGCCTGGTGATGTATGTGAGGACCAGTGCTTCTGCTCTTTGGGAGGGGAACAGGCCCAGAGGCAATTAGGCAGCTGAGAGCTCACACTACTCACCTGCAGCATGGGGGGGGGCTGTTTCAGAGCTCACCTGCCACGCCCCCATCCCTGCACCCATGGAAAGCCTGAGGCTTGGGGCACAAGAGCCAGGCACATATTTTCCAAGCCAGGAGGTTGAAGTGGGAGAAGCAGTGCTCCTTTGAGCTGAGCTTCCATAAGTAACAGCACAATTCTTGAATATACTTGTGCAGGTTTTACATGTGTAACTGAGAAAAACACCTGAATCTCTGGGAAAGTGGTAGTCTTTCAAAATCCAGCTTGTGTGCATGCAAGATAACAGGCACACCACATTAATTCCCACTTTCTAGGCTAATCCTGCTCTCCCAGTAGCTTCCCTGCCTGTGCTCCCGCTCCCCCCCGCCCATGTGCAGTCGGCACACCAGAATGGCTTTGACTCAGGCTGCGGCTGTGTAATAATGAGCTGAGCAATGAGAAGGAGCAGGCAAGGTCTTGGCTTGGAGATGAAGTGCAACTGTTAACAGCACAAGCTCTAGAGTCACACTGTC